AGCACGTTCAATTGTATCTCCAGATTCCCAAACAGGAGTGTAGTATCTAAAATTATTCCATCATTTATTTATGTGTGTGTCAGAAAGACTCCTATTCGTGCTTTACGTATTTATTGTTTTACGTATTATTGGTTCTTTGTTGAAAACGATAAAATTATTAATTATAACGAGATGATTTATTCATTGAAATATACTTAGGGAATTATATTTAGAATAGACCTTATATTTAATCGAGACGTAGAAAAGATCTATCATTTAATCAAATTATCTGTTTTGAAATATCCATCCAAACCGAAAGCCTACAGTCTTCAAAAATATTTAATATGTTATCATAAAGAAGTTCAATTATAGTTTTAGAAATCAAAGATCTCCCTAACAGCTCAACAAAACGTTTGATTACATAAAAACAAAATCGTGATCGCAGCTGATTAAATCATATTACTCGTCATAGAGTTCATAGTTGAATCGCAGGAATGCCTTTAGTATTTGTATTACAAATAACAAAGGCTGTATGGTTTCACTACTTTGCTACGTACCGAAAACCATCCTTGTTTCATCTATCCCTCTTTTACTTTAAGAAAAATGTATACAGTAAAAAAAATGAAACTCCTTTTGATATATGATTCAAAATGTTCGCAAATTCTTATCATTTGGTGCAGACGAATTTTAAGAAAATTTTAAGAAAAAGCCGATGAAAGGAAACCATAAAGCATAATACATTCAAATTGAAAATAATTATAATTATAATACTTAAAATATTTTACATATCTAAAGAAACAGTAATTATCGTTTCGCATATATTATAGCAATAACCGTATCACTGTATAGATTGTACTTACATTGAATTTACAGATACCAACTGTCTCATGACTAACTAAAACAAAACAAATGCAACTTATAACTAAAACGCACGCATCCCATGATGTCCCTGCGAAATTCCTCGTCGTCACACAGTGCCCTAGTCTAACATTTCAGTTATCTAATTGTCCCTATAGTTCAGTACATCAACGTTGCACAGTTCTTAGCTTGTTATGATTTTACAAATATTAAAGTAAATCGTTTTTCATTTTTCAAACTTAGCTTGATAACATTTTACGGACTATAATGTTTGTAAAATATCAATTACCACGTCCCACTACGAGGATGTGATTACGCACGATACTTGTGCTTACAATACATCATAAAATACTTCTCATCCACCTTCCATTACACGCATCGCGTTAAAATAAGTTCATCTCTCACACAATCGTATAGTACATACAGTACACAAAATCATACAGAGCATAAAATGCATACAATGCATATAATCATGTAATTCAGACAATAATTCGCAGCCATACCACCGCATTCTGTACAAAGAAACAGTTATTGAACTTCGACGAAATTAGGAATCTCTCACCTCCTCTATTCTTTCGTTCGTTGTTGATACTATTACCGTGTTCATTGCACTAGTTTCTAAGTTTCGAAGAATCGAGTTTCCAAGTTTCGCAGTCAGTGTGCCAAATCGAGGTTCGAGCATTTA